TCTATGACCTCAGGTGGAAGGGGATGGTTGTGGAAACAGCTAAATGTAAGGGAAAATTTTCATTTCACAAAAGACCCTTTGGGTACAACATAATTTAAAACGTTGAGATCATAGGAAAATGTGGATAAACAAAATGTTGTTTTATAAAAAGAATGAAAAACAACAGGATGACTGATTGGTATGCAACAATAGGTAAAAGGTAAAGGTTCCCTTGCTCGAAAGCCAGTCGAATCCGACTCTAGGGTTGCGGTGCTCATCTCCGTTTCAAAGCTGAAGAGCCAGCGCTGTCTGAAGACATTTCCGTGGTCATGTGGCCGGCTGTTACCTTCCCACCGAAGTGGTACCTATTTATCTACTTGCAATTTCTTGCTTTCAAACTGCTAGGTTGGCAGGAGCTGGGGCCAGAGATGGGAACTCACTCCGTCATGCGGCACTCGGGTCTCGAACTGCTGAACTACCAACCTTCCACAGCCTGCAGTTCAGCGTCTTAACCACTTGAGCCACCGCAGCTCCTATATATAATACACAATCCTATACAGCAATACACAGATGCATAATACCCAGAAAGCTCAAACCACATCACTCCAGTCTCATTCGATCTACACCGGCATCCAGTTTGCTGGTATAGACATTTAAAGCCCTATATGGATGGGGCCAGCATACCTGAAGAACTGACTTCTCCCATTAAAAACTACACTACCATATACTCCAATCATCTTCGGAGGCCCTGCTCCGGTTGCTCCGCCATCTGAGGCTGGATGGGTGGCAACCTGAGAAAGGTATTTCCCAGTTGGGGCACCGAAACTTTGGAACCACTCCCCAGGGAGATTTGCTGTCTCCCTTTCTTCTGCCAGCAGGTGGAAACTTTTTTCATTTTGTTTGGCATACCCCTAATCAGGGCTCTTTGTGTAGCAGGAACTCCTTTGCATATTAGGCGACACACCCCTAATGTAGCCAATATTTTGTTTGGCATACCCCACTGGCCCTCCTTCCTGGTCCTGCTGCTCTTTTTTATGTGCTTTTATTGAAGTATTGTATACGTTAAAATATATATTTTAATTGTGAAAATGTTTTAATGTTTTTTTATATTCACCACCTTGAGGACCCTGATCAGGTGGAAAATTGTTTTAAATAAAATAAATAACAATAAATATTCTCTCTCTCTCTCTCTCTCTCAATACATGAAGGCTAAAGGCAGAATGAAAGCAAAGAATATTTTCATCCAATGGCAGTTAGGAAGGAAGCAGGTTGTTTCAGTTGCTGATGTGCTTTCATACTGAAAGAAAAAAGGAGAATATTCAGGACCCCTCTCAGTGAAATGCCAACAAAAATACAGTGAAAAACATCAACGGTTTAGAAAACAAAGGCTTGCAACATGTTTGCAACAGATGCTCTGACTAGTGAACAAGAGCTTTTCAGATGCTATGAAAAAATAAGTCATACCGACACCAAAGATAAATAAAGCATTAGGACTGCTTATTAAAAAAAATAAAATATTAAGCGCAACAGGTTTATGAAAATACCCTTCCCCCCTTTATGTGAAGAAAGGTGCTCTTGAAGAACTCATATATAAACACGTACAAGTTTGTCTAGAAGAGGATTGGTATTATCCATATGTTGAACAGCTGTTTCGTTTGCAACTTGTCCTCTGATATGTGCCTTTAGTTTACTGTATTAATGGTTGGGGTAATTACATGCATCAGGGATCCTTGCTTGCTCCCAGCTTCCGGTGTTAAGCTCACACAGCTTCAAATATGTATACTTTCTCTTTCTACCCCCAAAAGGCACATGCAGTAAGAGTATTAAATATCAAATTCATGTGGGAGGGTCAGGATGCCTCATCATACATATTGAGTACATACACTCATAGTGCTGAGTGTATAAACAATGCCAAAATTAAGCAGAAAAGAGTTTTCCTGACTTTCTTGTGGCTTCATATGGCAGTTACAAACAGGGAACAACTTGGAATGGGAGTGGCAGAGGTGGAAGAAGAGCTAAGGTAGTGGTGTCCCTGAAGTCATGAGCTGAAACCAAAAGCTATGCAGGGATGTTTTGATACCTTAAGGGCCACATCCATTCTAAATGATACCCTAAGTGGTGCGCCAGAGACCTAGCTGTGGTCTTGTTGGCAAGTAGGAGATTTGGAGCCACTATTAGAAAGCAGCAAATAGTCAGTGAAAGTGCCTCTGTAGAAGATCCCAGCATCAATCATGGGCATATCCAGTTAAAAGGTTCAGACAATGGGTGATGGGAAAGGAGGGGGAGGGGGAAGATGAAGAAGAGGAAGAAGATTATTAGGAGTTGGATTTATACCTTGCCCTTCACTCAAAGTCTCAGAGATCTTACAATCTCTTCCCCCCCCCTCTCCCTACAACAGGCACCCTGTGAGGTAGGTGGGGCTGAGAGAGCTCTTTGAGAACTGCTCTTGAGAGAACAGCTCTTGAGAGAACTGTGACTGACCCAAGGTCATGCACCTGGCTGCATGTGGAGGAATGGGGAATCAAACATGATTCTCCAGATTAGAGTCCGCCGCTCTTAATGAATATGCCAAACTATGATCACAGAACTTAACAGTATAAAGCAAGCTTATGAAGGGTTGGGCTGGCCTGAAGGCACAGTCTGTAGGCTTGTAGGCACCATCTGTTGGTTGGGGGCTCCTGGCTGTTGCCTGGGGTCTTCAGGCATGCGTGCCGCAATTATGTTACCTGGAAGTGACATCACACAGGGCATGTAATGTAGGGGATCCTCTAGCAGTCAGCCAAAAACTCTATGGTCACCATAGAGTTTTTGGCTGAATGCTAGAGCGTCCCCTGCACAATGTCCCTGGTGTGATGATGTCACTGCACCAGGCATGTTAGGCGCTGCAGAGCTCTTCGGGGGCAGGGCTCCCCTCACTGGTCAGCAGGCTGATTGGGAGCCCCAAATCGGGGGAAACCCCACCCCCATTGGGGGGATGGCAACCCTACTGAAATGAGAAAGATGTTAAATTAACATAAATGAGTGGTGAACCAGAGTCTGGGATGAATATACCACCAAAAAAAATCTTATCTTCCATCCAGAACAAATATGGCTTAATTTTCCTCAAGTGTATTTTCCAGCTATGTGTAGTGGTCGCCCAGCTGGCTGCATGTCATGGGAAGCAGGGAATCAAACCTGATTCTCCAGATTGGAGTGGTGAACCAGAGTCTGGGATGTATATACCACCAAAAAAAAAATATCTTCCATCCAGAACAAATAGGGCTTAATTTCCCTCAAGTGTATTTTCCAGCTAGGTGTAGTGGTTGCCCAGCTGGCTGCATGTGGAGGAGCAGGGAATCAAACCTGATTCTCCAGATTAGAGTCCACTGCTCTTAACCACTACAGCAAACTGGCTGCCAGTCTGAGTAGACAATACTGATCTTGATGGACCAGTAGTCCAATTCAGTATAAGGCAGCTTCATGTGCTCATGCTGCATTCCTCTTTGATTGACCACTATGGAGCAGTGCCTTTTGGATTTTGCGCTTTGGACTGTTTCCAGTGCAGAAGACCTAGATTCAGTGAATTCTTCAAGGATCACCACAATTTAATTGTATTATTCAGTTCTGGAAACATTCTAATGCATATACTGCAAAAGGAATTATTTTCTGATACAGTGAAAAATCATATAGCTGATCATTGTGACCATGTAGATCAAACTAGGAGCCCCAAAGCAACACTTTCGAAAAAAGATGAGGCAAGAAAAGGCCTACGGTCTTGTTATGCACGCCTTGGAAATGTCTTCCTCTAACTGCTGCAAAAATGCACTAAAACAGTCATTAATCTTCAGTACTGCATCACAGAATACATATTCTTGTATGTCAACTGGATCTGGTCGTGGACCATAATATAATAAATTGAATTGAATATCCTTGTAATATTTCTGTTAAATGATAATGAATGCCCCCCTAAGAAGAGCTGGGTGCCTGTTTATTTAAGAACAGTCACTTCAAAACAACAACAACACATATTCATAAAATACTAGAACAGCAAGATTTAGATGATGGTAAAGGTCAAAATGGTGACCATACAAATCTAAGCAGTAATTTTGATTCATTATGAGTTAACAATATAGTCCTAAAACCACCCTTTCACCAGAAAGGGCAATGAGTTTATACAGTCTCTTTTCAAGTCATCCTGCTGTAGGTATACTGGTTCAGAATTACATTTTTATTGAGACTCTTGCCATAGCTTTTCACCTGTTTGACACTTTGTAAACATCCTCCTGTGCTTATACTTCTCAACCAGCAATCCAACAATTTCAATGAAAATAAACCAGTAAATAACAGAATTTTCACATCAACAGATTTCTGCTGTTTCAGTTAATTCTAACACATAATGATGTCATTTGTACCAATAAGCTTACTATAGTTGAGCAAGCAATGCTGGTTTAAAGCAGCAGAACAAAGTTTGAGTCCAGCGGCACCTTTAAGACCAACAAAATTTTATTCAAGGCATAAGTTTTCATGTGCATGCACACTTCTTCAGATACAATGACATGGAAATTGCCAGTCCATACATATAGGTAGAGGGTGAGCAGTAAATCAGTATACAGCATAATGAAGATGTTTGACAGATGCAGGGACCAAACAGTTTATATGGTTACTATTTTGGGGGGGTTAATTCCAGGGAAAACATAGTGAAGGAAATAAATATGTCAAAATTGGAAATTGATGGACAGATGTATCCTTAATTGTGGAATGCTGAGAATAATTAACTAAAACCCTGCCATTACACTTCATCTGTCTCCTCTCAAGCATGGAGGCGACAAGTCACCTGGTAATCATAGAATTGTAACCATATAAACTAAGCTTGTTATTCCTGTTTGGTCCTTGAATCTGTTAAACATCTTCATTATGCTGTATGCTAATTTACTGCTCACCCTCTACCTATATGTATGGACTGGTAATTTCCATTTCATTGTATCTGAAGAAGTGTACATGCACACAAAAGCTTATACCTTGAATAAAAACTTTTTTGGTCTTAAAAGTGCCACTGGACTCAAACTTTGTTATGGTTGAGCATGAAACCTTAGGGCCAAACTTTGACCACATGTAAAAGTTAATGGTGGACAGATGATAGAAATCGGAGAAAAATCAAACATACTTTTTAGCCAGTATACATTTCATGTTCACATTACTGAGCGACTTAAGAAAAACCAGTTTAAGCCCCACCTGTGAAAATATCCTCTTGGGCTACCACTAGTCAGCTAAAGACCTAGCACCATCACTGGACCTATCACATGCATTGCAGATACTAGCCACTTTGGTGATTTCTGAATTAGCAACCCCATTGTTCTGTAATAGCCCAGGGAGATCAAGAACAGAAGAAATTATATAGTGGGGGGCTGGAGACGTGTCTTTTGGGTCAGTTACTGTTCTGTTTATCCAGACTGTTGCTTTCAAACCTGCATTCAGGCCTCCTTGAATGTCTGTATCTAGAGAGTCACCAACCATCACACAGTCCTCAGGCTGAACACCCAGAATGTCACAGCAGTGATGAAATATAGACGGCGCTGGTTTCTCCTCTTTCTGTTCTCCACCAACTACGATAGCATCAAAGTAGGGCTGGCAGGCACAAGCTTCAATCTTTTCTCTCTGTGTCTGTGTGTCTCCATTCGTCAGCAGAAGCAAACGGACAACTTTCCTAAGGTCCCTGAGCATCCCTCTAGTCTCTTCCGCTAAGGTCAAATATTTCAGGCGGGTGGTTTTCCAAAGGAAATAACATTCCGAAGCCAGATTCCGATTGGCTCGTCCTCCCTTTGTTTCTTGTATAGCTTCTTCCCAGTGTTGAATCCTGAAGTCAGTAATACACATCTTGGAAGGGTCATGACACTCTTTGAGGAGTTTAGCTTGGACTTTGGCACAGATCATGTGGGCTTCTCTCTCATCACAGTGATGCTCCGTCTGTAAGGCATTTATCACCTGTTAGCAAAACAGAACTGTATTAATTTGATTTACTCTCTTTCTTGTACTAGAAAAGAAAAATGTTGCATTGGAATGAACAGCATGGATTTAAGAACACAATTTGCATCAGCATGCCCTTCGGGATTCTTTCAGTCTGTCACATCATGTAGGTATCAGTGGAGCCTGGATCTGGCAGGGTTCCGCCCAGGTCTCTTCCTTGGCTCTTACTCACTCTCCCCCCTTTTCTCTACAGGGTGCCTCCACCACTTCTGTCACACTGGTGGGCCCTCCTTCTGCATGCTGATCCTGCCCCAGGTAAGTAGAGGGTCCAGGGCTGCAGTACCCTCTGACCATTCCTCAGGTGGCCGTGACCTCCTTCTTCCCCCCTCCCCACCTGTTTGAGAGCCAGTTAGGTGCAGTGGTTAAGAGTGGCGGACTCTAATCTGGAGAACCGGGTTCGATTCCCCACTCCTCCACATGAAGCCAGCTGGGTGACCTTGGGCCAGTCACAGTTCTTTCAGAGTTCTCTCAGCCCTAAAAACAAGTCTAGCTTGCCACTGCATGACTCTAAGAGCTAGAGCTTGCAACTGCCAGACAATCCTTGGATCACCTGGCTACTCCACACACAATGCCATGATAATTATTATTCCCACCAGGCTGCCTTGCCCTTTCCCTCCACACCAGTTCCCATACCAGCCTCTACTGCCTCTCCTTCTGCCTGGCCTGTACCCCTCTTTTGAGTTGCTGGGCTGCATGGGTGGGTCCTGGTCCTGCCCACCCATCAGTGGTGCTGCATCATTTCCTATCTGGTTGTGTTTACATTCAGACCAGCCATCTGGAGCATGGTGCTGCTGCCACCCAGGATTTGCGCCCCCCCCCCCAGCTCACACAGTCATTGCATTTGGAAGCTCTCTTCTCTTGCAATAGTTAGTTGCAGCAAACATGGGATGTGACCGGAGATTCAACCACTTCTGCAATGTTCAGA